GGATTGTATTGGTTTCTTACTTGGCTTACACATGTAACCTGAAGATGGAGGCGAGATATTCCTCCGAAACGCTGAGCTGTCTCCGAATTGCACAGCGATACAACCCGAAGACCGTACTCTTCACAGTCACTGCAGTGAGAACTTAAAATCCAACAGAATCTAGTAACTTCATGATGACGTCATGGGCTACGTCACTACCTGACGATGACGTAACCTCGTTCCTATGGCACAGAGTCTAGTCCGAGTTACCAATGATAAAGAGCAGATGAAGGTAAGCAGACAGCTTTACGCTCCGTCCGGCTTAACCACGACAAAAAGAGGACATATTCGGGCAGGAGAGAGGGTGGACCTCAGAACCAATCTGGACGTACAGAAAGTTGAGGTCTGAGGCTCATACTGAGCTGGGTTACAACACCGTGTAGTCTGGTAGATGGGCACCAACGTTTCGGAGGAATATACTGTCCTTATCATCAGGGTAGAAGACTGAGGCGACAGGTTCCTCTCAAATGTTAATAACTGTCTACCAGACTAGACGGTGCCATATAGCAGAAGACTACATTCCAGATCGGAGGTGTTGCTGAACAGAAGTATCACGTCACTGCCAGTGGCAAGCAGTTGGCACGGCGTGGTTAAACAGAGTCAGCATAAGAAACGTGATACGTACCACCGGAAGGTCACACGACCTCGCAACCCCACCTGTCGGGGGGGGGGTCGGTTCCAAGATTACAAAGTACTTATGTATTATGTGTAACTGTCAGCTTATCTCTTGTAGGGGGGGCAGGTGACCAAACGGACATTGCCCCTTAACTCGACTTATCATCCGTGATAATGTTACAACACAACCGACAGTGGCGATTTTGGGGACACGTCAGTGGCGTATGGCTGTCAGGTACTGCACAGACTAGAAGCAAGTGGTGTAACACACGAGATCTATGCATAAATTTGAGGATAATAATAAAAATGAGTTTATATAATATATATTGCATCGGATTTGATCAACGCGTTGCCAAGCAGCAGCTCTGTAAACACGGCCTAACACGCAACAATAGAATATTTATAGCTCGCTGCTAAGCAACAGTCAGCGCGCCAGTGGACTGGCGAGGTAATTATCACGTGACTCGTTTTCTCTGTGGTGTTCTTATGCAACAATAGAACTGTGATTTCTGTGTGGTCCGTGCTGCGGCTATATAACGAGAGCTGTGAGCCATTGTTATGTATGCGAAATGCACACTTGACAAAAAGCTGAGGACACTCATAAGAGACAAACCCATCTTCTCCTCATAGGGGAGTTACATAAGGACTACGACAGGAAGGGTTCATCTGGTCGTGAATCTCGAGGGGCTTGACGCCAAGACGAACTGATTGGCGGAAAGTAACTTTGACTATTAAGTTCAGAGCGAATTATAGCCAGAAGTGAAGTGACAGTGACTGGAGGCCGCGCCATAGCTCAAGCGGTTAGTCGCTGGCTTCCCACCGCGGCGGCCCGGGTTCGATCCCGGGTCTGGTCAAGTGGGATTTGTGGTGGACAAAGTGGCACTGGAGCAAGTTTACTCCGAGTACTTTCGTTTCCCCTGCCAATCTTCATTCCACAAATTGCTCCACAATCACCCTCACCTATCATCTGGGGCTGGTACAATAGGCCAGAAGTGGCCGCAGTACAAGGGACTTAGTCCCACCCCACTAGCAATAAAAAAGTGACAGTGACAGTCCTGAGTTCCGACTGGTCGGTAGGAGCCAGCAGTGGAAAGTTCGTCGACCTGTGAAGATTTTATTCATGTGTAATATTTAGTTATCTGAAGCGCCAGTTCCCGTGGTTTAGTCGTGGTACCAGGAGAGGTCCAGTGTGTAGGCAAATCAGCGCTAGCGTTGTAATTAAATGTGATTAAGAGAGACTGTAACCGATGTGCCAATAAATCCAATCATCCGAACCAGACCCCGTCAATCTCATCACGCGTACCACCCTACACGTGACACTATTGTGACCAAATTTTATCGCGTACAGACTCGTATTCGGGAAGTCCGCAGTTCGAATCTCGGTCGGGACACTGGCTATCCTGAGATACTTCGTGATTTTCCCGAGTCTCTCTCTATGAAACTCTCTTGTGAGTACCTCGGTCAAGCCACACTCGCTGTCTTCTTCCAAATCTCGTTCAATTAATCATTTATCAATCAATCATCGTACCTACCATTCGACACTAACCGTAAACCCTCGCTAATCCGGTTACAATTAATTCGGATGTCGGATAATTAGGACAGAAATGTGAAAAATGCCGTTCACAGTTGAGTACGTACTTTAAAAAGTCACATGACATTCAGGAAGGCAGATAAGTCACGTGTCTGTTCAGACAGAACTTGAGACAGTCTCTTCAAACCTGCATCATTACGTTCAAAAACAAGTATAGCTTCTGAGTCTTCTATCCCTGGAGTTGGAGCTCGGAGCTGAGTGCTGCCACCTGGCGGGAGAAGTGCGTTGCTGTTTCCACGGAAACGTGATTACCAAGCCGTTACTTAGCAGCGGATAGTTCCTAGACCGCGATTGATGACTAGCGTGTCAGAGGTACGTTCTCGTTAACGGAGCGCGAATCAAGGGGCGTTCGAACTGCCGTGGAGCGCACTGATTGGCCAGAGCTTGATTCAATGCGGGTGGCTCTCGCAACGTATTGTCTTTGTATAGTTTTTAAATAAAGGATCTACAGTGATCAGGCGCGGTAGCGTAGTTCGTTGAGGCACTACGCTACAAGCCGGAAGGTCGTCGATTCGTTTTCCGATGAGGTCACTGAATTTCTCAACTGACCTAATCCTTCCAGCCGCACTATGGACCTGGGGTCGACTCAGCCTCTAACAGAAATGAATACCAGGAATCTTCCTGGGGGTAAGGGGCGACCGGCGCGTGAGGCTGACAACCTCACCGTCTGTGAGCCAGTGGGAACCTCGACGTCTCACAACCCTATGGCCTTTACGGCCTGTTACACAAACAGTTTTACCTTTACCTGCTTACATCATTAAATTTCCCATTTATTTGTGTTCCAAGATTTTTTTTTTGTCGTTTAGGGTTATCCGATGCTTCACTAATCCGGATGATGCTCCCCACATTACTCCGGATTAGCGAGAGTTTAGTGAACAGGAGACAAGAGCCGCGACGCCACTGTCAGCGCACGTGCTGGAGTGCACACGTGCAGGATCTGAAGACGGTGACCCTGCTCATTAGAGACGCAATCTCCCCTTGTTCTGGGGGTCAGCATTAAGCAGCAGATCTGGGCTCAATGAACGGCAATACAAATTGTCCCTTTCCTTCCTTCAGAAAGAGGGAAAGGAGGTAATGAAGCGAAACATATAAGAAAGCAAGTTAAAAAGGTAAATTTGTTTGCAATGAAGACGCATGGAGGAGTGAAGTTATAGCATTTTTAACCTCGACACTAGATGGAGGAGGGTGTGCACACGGTAGTATGGTTGAAGTACAACGCTATAAGCCGGAAGGTCGTGGGTTTGTTTCCCGATGAGGTCACTGGATTTTTTCAATTGACCTAATCCTTCCAGCCGCACTATGGTCCTGGGGTCAACTCAGCCTCTAACAGAAATGAGTACCAAGAATATTTCTGTGGTTAAAGGGTGGCCGGTGCGTAAGGCTGACAATCTCACCGCCATCTGTGAACCGACTGTGTAGAAAATGTGGGAGCCTCGACGTCTCACAAACCTATGGGTCTCCACGGCCTGTTATAAGGATACCTTTACCCTTTTGCTTGATGGTGGTGAATGGTGAACACCCTCACAGATTTACCTCTGGGGAAAGATCCCCCGGTACTAATTACCCAGGTAAGTGGGTCCCAGGGACGCGCCATAGCTCAAGCGGTTAGTCGCTGGCTTCCCACCGCGGCGGCCCAGGTTCGATCCCGGGTCTGGTCAAGTGGGATTTGTGGTGGACAAAGTGCCGCTGGGGGAGGTTTTCTCCGAGTATTTCGGTTTCCTCTGCCAATCTTCATTTCACCAATTGCTCCACAGTCACCCTCACCTATCATCTGGGGCTGGTACAATAGGCCAGAAGTGGCCGCAGTACAAGGGACTTAGTCCCACCACACTAGCAATAATAATAATAATAATAATAAAGTGGGCCCCAAGGGCAGTCAGTATGCTGTGGAAAAGAGAACCTTTTGTCCCTGCCTGGAATCGAATCCCGATATTTCCTTTGTCCACAGTAAATAGCGATTATTTCCCAAAACAGCATTAACCGATTGGTCGTTGTTATGGAGACGGGGTGTTTCCTGTGAGGTACGGACTGAATTGCTATATACATATCACATATCATTCCCAGACTCGTGATACAGTGTAATATGGTTATGAGTCCCAGAACCAAGAATGACTGTGCTGGCGAATGCCAGGAGCAATTTACCCAAGCGACCGAGCTTAAGGAAGATGCGCTGAAAGATGCGTTTTCAAAATAGAAATGTTTCGAGGAAGCTGTTTTTTTCTCTTAGTGTATGAATGTAATCGTATAAGGGGTTGGCCTTCTCGGCCCTTGCACCGCGATCTATTGTGCTTTTCTCTTACTGTAACTGGTGCACCAATGCACTGTGTTTCCGACAGAATTATGGGAACAGTACACGGTAGGCAAATCTCAGGGGACGTCCACACTGCGGCCTAGAAGTCAGTGCGTAATAGGAACGTCCTGGGACCGGCCATCTCTACACAGGTTTTCGTGGTTTTCCTCTGTCTTCAGCCAAATGCTGAGATTGTTCCCAAGCGGCTACTGCGTGCTTCTGTTGCCGCCCTCTCGACGCGTCTGCTTTTACCGGTTCTCACGGTCTCTTCGCTTGCGGATTTCTTATATTTTTCCTTCTACCCTGAAGATGGAGGCGATACGTTCCTCCGAAACGTCGGTTAACACCACATATACACGGTGCCAAATCCCAGAAGACTGCTTTCTTCAGATTTATTCATGATCACCCAGGCTCATCTTTCCCTTAAGGAAGGCTCCAAATGGACTTAAGCACTGTTTTACTTACAAGAAGCTGCGAAAGGTGGAGAACCCCGCCGCCTGGAGAGGTAGGCTGACTGCAAGGCCTTCAGGGAAGTTCTGAATGCCTATTCCAATTGCCAGGTTCCTGCGGACAAGAAGGGCACATGAGTCAGCAAGGAAAGCATGGCACAGGCCCGGAGCTCCAAAGTTTGGCACACACAAATTGGCGTCACGGCCGGAGTTTGCAGGTACAAAGCCGCCCAAAGTAAACTAATGATAGAAGGGGGGCCAGTCAGCTGCAGTCTTCCCTGCATTCCTTCAATATGTCACGATATAAAGAGGAGGAACACTACGCAGGGGTTGAGGTCCTCACACCGGTGGTTTATGAACACTTCTATCTTCAGGGATATAACACCGTGCAGTCCGTTCGTAGTCAACCGACGTTTGCTCTGCTTGCCGCCTGCTTTCACGCTCGTTTCTTTCTCGGTTTATTCTTAGATCCTGAACATGGAGGCGATATGTTCCTCCGAAACGTCGGTTCACCTATAACGGACTTCAATGCGTTATATCCCAGAAGATAATAATCTTGTAGAGTAATACTAGACTCTGGGGCGTGACGCCATGTTGACTGACATAAACCGACGTTTCGGATGAGCTTACTGCCTCCATCTTCAGGGTCGAAAACACCTTAAGCAAGAAACAGAACAGCAAGTTGAGCAGTCAGCGCTCAGTGCCGCACCCGCTGTGGTGGACTCAAAATCCAACAAAATTATTTCCTGAACCCAAGAAGGGTCCTTGGGGGCAGTTCCGTAAGGCTGCGCATGCGCTGCAAGGAAGCAGCAGAAACAAGTAGAACTTGGTTTCTAAATAAGTCGGTCGGCCAGACGAGCAAGACGGACGAGCCTGTTGGACTTCATTCCGCGCAGCGCTACAGCCTCAACTGAAAACATCGACCCGCCGCTCCGAATTAAGTACTGCTTTTTCCTGGTATTTTACACCGAGTAGCGCGGGTTATCTTGCAAATGCCTTCTCTCGGAACTGGAAGCTTCGCTTACTCAACATAGGAACAATCAATAGTAGAGGTACCACACTTACTTAACCGGTCAATCGGTCAGGTAAACTGCTGCTGGTCCTCGCCAGCACAGTAATTCTTTGTTTTTGGTCCCCTCGGGAATAATGACCAAATTTTTGTTCGTTCCAAGTCCCTTTATGTGTTTGGAAACGGAGGTCTCCACTTCGAAGAGACGAGGAGTTTGTCTTCCAGAGTATGCGCCACGTTTGTTGCACCGTAATTCAGTACGAGTGTACCCACACTCACGCAGAGTCCGTGTAAGGGCATTTGTACTTTATGGGCACCAATGCCGCTATACTCCCGGGGAAAACAACCCCAGCACCCACTGTAAAGGAGGCTGCGTGAGTCCTAGGCTGGTCTGGACCTCACGGAGAAAAGGATAAATTTATTTCCCTTATCGAGAATCGAACCCTGACTCTTCGGTTGCCCAGCTCGTAGCCCAGTCGCTATATGCGCTCACAGTAAAAGGAAATCATCAAAATCATCACTGGCTAAACAGCCCCTTTCGAACCACAGCATTCCTTACAAGATTCTGCCAGACTGCGTCCGGGTTTCACTTCTTCGGAATTCGCAACAATAATTTTTATTTTACAGAGTAAGGTCGTCAAGCCCTGCGTCCAACCCCCAAACTGAAGAGCTATGTTTCTGTATCCATGTCTCCCAGGGACAGGGTTCCGGTTCCCTTTTCGTCGCCTCCTACGGCTCACAGGGCTACGGTGGAGGTTTTCGAACCGGCCTCCACTCGGGACAGTGAAAGGAAATAGGCAATACACACAAAGAAAGAGAATTATTTCCATTATGACAATAATGAGCCCATTAATACAGAAAATAATTATCATTAACGGATGGAAGATATTCATATTTATATTCAATACAAGTAATAAACGTAATAATAATAATAATAATAATAATGGCGAGCGTGACGGGGAAGGCCGCCGTTCGGTGGGAACCCTGTCACGTGTCTGCCGTCTTCTTTCTCTCTCGCCGTTAAATCCCATTTGCCTCGGCTGTCTCTGCTTTCTCCCGGAACTTCGGGGTTTCCCCTGGTCTGGCAGTGAGTCTACAGGACGATCAACAAAACTATGCACCGTTTCGCCGTACGTCATCAAAATGGCCCGGAATCGGACAACAGCCAGCTGTTTCCACTCTCTTAGCAACATTTTTCCTGAACCGTCACTTAAAGATCTCCCGTTCTTCACGCCTCTATGTGCATTTCAATTTGTAAACTATGTCGGAATAGCTCAGTCGGTTTAGTAACAGGCTGCAGAATTGACAGCCAAGGAATATAGGTCCGTTTTCCGGTAGGCGCAACGAATTTCTCTTACCTTTACATCGTCCAGACAGGCTCGTATTCAAAGGGTAACGGGGACTCTTACCAGACGGTAAAGGTAGTTCAGTGCCGACGCTAACAATGCCTCCACTCCCCCCATTCGCTCTCACCATAAGGAAGACGAACAACTTGTGTTATGTAGGATTTGAGGTTTTGACGGCAGTGACTATGAAGAATGCCGTCTTCTGGGATGTGGTACCGTGCAGATACTGTGCAAACCGACGTTTCGGAGGAACGCATCGCCTCCATCTTCAGGGCAGAAAACCCCGCGTGCGAGGAACCTACATGAGCAGGTGGCTAGCAGACTGAGCCACCAGTCGAAAACACCCAGTTGTGGCATTATTATGTTTAGAGGGTTAAATCTCGCTCCTCTACCATACTGCTAATCCAGCTTCTGGGATGTGACGCCGTGTAGTCTAGCACACTACACGGCGTCCATCCCGGAAGGGATTCTTCTCCGTGGGAACATCAAATCTCCAGTGTCCTTGATATCACAGAGTGCAAGAGTGGGCTACAGTACACGCACATTCGCGCGCAATCGGAACAGGGTCAGAACACACGGAGAGACGCCTGAATAACTTTCAAGCCAATACATCAGCAGCAAATGAACTCCCCCCACCCTTCCTGTCTTCATAACATGGTTTAGCAGACTGCGGGGCTCCAAAGGGAGACCGGAGAGAGAGATGGACCCCCTCAGGGGGTCATGTGTGGTGAGGGGGGCGGGGGAACGGCCACTAAACCCGTATTCAACAAGGACACCCACAAGACTATGTTTTCTTTTTCTGTAATATTAAAAAAAGTTCAGCGCGTAATTTTGTCTGTTGTTTTGTATGAGTGTGAAATGTGGTTTCTAGCCCTGAGACACGAACACAGATTAAGGGCGTTTCAGAGAAGCGCAAAAGAAGGTAAATTTGTCCATGTGCTTAATTAATTACACAAATGTGACATGAAGGCGTGTGGGGGAGTGGAGGTATAGCTTGACCGTTATTGACCTCGACAGTAGATAAGAGATGAGTGGTTAGAATCACGCCCCGGCAGCTTTAACACTCACAGCGACTGGATAGGACGCTTGGTGGACCTCAGAGCCGGTCTGAATGCTGTGGTGAAAAGAAAAATCTTAACCCTGCGGTAATCGAACCGGGCCGACCAGCCNCGGGGGGGGGGGTGGCTAACACCTCACCTCCATCTACTGCCGAGGTCAAGAATGGTGGAGCTGTGCCTCCACTCCCCCGTCTTGCTCGATTAATTAAACCTGTACTTTACTTTACCTGTAAAAAGAAAGGACAGAGAAAACTACAAAATGAGCTTCATGTAATGCAGGTATACCAACTTCTTAACATTTGTTTCCTGAAGACAGAGGCAGCAGGTTATGCTGAAACGCTGGCACATTCTAGAACAGATGATGCCTTCCGCCCTGAGCGTGTAAAACAGGTTTACGTTGCGTCAGCATTATATTGTGACGTGTCATTACGTCATCACTAAAACCCTACTTGTTGCCTGCTTCATGCTGGTTTTTTTGCTTGGCTTATTCTTCGGTCCTGAAGATGGAGGCAACATGTTCCTCTGAAACGTCAGCTGACATTCACTACACGGTTTTACGTCCCTTAAGACATAACTTTTTATAACCACCGGTGTAAGAACCTAAAATCCTACACTGTCAGCAGGAATGTACGCGTCGCGTTTATCCACACGCAGAGGACCTGAAGAAAGCCTCGCAGACAGGATGGAATGTCGTACATGATTGGCACCCTATATGGGAAGAGGCAGTTGTCAGGATCGCTCGCGGACCATACATGGCGCTACATTCCGACAGCAATGTTGCCAACTTCAGACGCCACTGCGCATGCTCGATGGGAACAAGAGGCCCAATATATTGCACCTTCTGTTGGTTTCTGACGACATATCAACTACACAGGTTGGTTTATAGCGTCAAATATAAGTCAGGGTTCGAGAGAAGAGCACTCGTGCTTCGAAAACAGGAAGTCTGAGGTTCAAAACTCTTTTCTGGATTACTTTACTCATTCGGTAAGCCGACAGCCTACGGGATGGACGTCCCAGGTTTGATTTCCGGTAGGGTAAGATTTTTTCTTCTCCACAGCGTCCAGACAGGCTCTGGGGCCAACACAGCCTCCTACCCAGTGGGTACCGGGGGCTTCCTCTTCGGGGTTTAAGCGGCCGGGGCGTTCATCATTCACTTCTATCTAATGCCGAGGTCAAGAATAGTGGAACTATAGCTCCACACCCCCATATGTCTTCAAGGCATAGTGCTTAATTAATTAAGCTCAGGGAGATATACTTTTTTTACCAGAAGCTAGATCATACAGCGTGGAGTGTAGAATGATTGGTAAATTGGAAAGGGTGTAGAAGGAAGTGGTCGTGGTTTATTTCACGAACAATGCCAGCATATGCTTGCGGCGACAGGAAAACTACAAGAAGCCTCAGTAATGATAGCCGGTGTTGTGACCGAGACTTGAACCAAGCACCTCCCGAATGCCACTCAACAGCCTTACAGTTACGCCAACCTGCTCGGTAAAAGCGCTCCCTGTAACAGGCCGCGGAGGCCCATAGGGTTATGAGACGTCGAGGCTCCCACATTTTGTAGACAATCGGCTCAGAGATGGAGGTGAGGCTGTGGTGTGGTTAGGCACCCATTTCGACTTAAATTAATCGAAATTAATCCCCTTTGCATTTTTTTTTAAAATTACTTAAGTCACCATTAATTCAAAAACCAAAACTCGGTGGC